ATCAACATAGTAAAAATGGCAATCTTGCCAAAAGCAATCTACAGATTCAATGCAATCCCCATCAAAATCCCAACACAATTCTTCACTGACCTTGAAAGAACAATTGTCAACTTAATATGGAGAAACAAAAGTCCCAGGATAGCTAATGATGTTTTATATTCTTTTTTTTTATTAGTTCAAATTAGGAACAAGCTTGCTTCACATGTCAATCACTTCTCCCTCTCCCTACCCTCTCCGCAACCCCCACCAGACCCTCAACCCCCTCTGCTCGCCAGGGAGGGTAGAGCCCTCCATGGGGTTTCCACAAAGTCCACCACATCATCCTGGGCTGGGCCTGGGCCCTCCCCCATGTGTCCAGGTAGAGACAGCATCCCTTCATGTGGGATGGGCTCTGAAAGTCCTTTCTTATACCAGGGAAAAAATACTAATCCACTATCAGGGGTCCCATAGAATTCTGAGGCTTCCTCATTGACATCCAGGTTCAGGGGTCTGGATCAGTCCATACTGGCTTCCTAGACAGCAATCTGGGGTCCATGTGCTCCCCTTTGTTCAGGTCAGCTGTTTCTGTGGGTTTCACCAGGTCTTTTATATTCTTATTTATATTTTCATATCATATTTATTGAATTGTGTGTTCAAAGGTTTGCTTATTTTAATTGGGTAGCTTGTTTTTCTTTTTGTTAAATTGTTTATTTTATTTTGTAAAATAAATGAGCAAATTATTTAAATAAATATTTCTCTCAAAAAGTATTTAAAATAACAGTAAATGCCAGAGAAAATTCTTAACTCCATTAGACTGAGAGAACAACATATCAGAATTTCATTAGAATAGCCTATCTCCTTCATTAAAGCAAATTAAGAAAAAAGATAACTAGTTTTTATGAGAATATTGAGGAAGTAGGATCTACATAGTGATGTTTGATGATTCCATGGCTTTACAAATCAGTTTGCCAATTCTTCCAATTGTTAAAAATTGGCATCCCTGTATAGTTCAATAAGTCCATCCCAAGTTATATATCCAAGATGAATGAAAGCATAACTTCATACAAAACCCTGTATGATAATTAATAGTGGCAATTTTATGGTGTTGTGAATTAAACCAAGGGTTTCACACATGCTAGGAAAGTACTTTACCACTCAACTACAACTGTAGTCCTTAATGTCAGTGTCATTCATATTACACTCAAAGCAGAAATAACCACATATCTATTAATTGATGAGTAGATGAATAAAATGTCATGTACTTTGGCAATAAAAAGCAACTGTTTATGTGGCAGCATGTGTAGACCATTACAATATTATAAAAATGAAATTAATAAGAGAAAGGCAATAAAATGATTCAATTTGTGTGAAATGTTCAGAATGATATAGAAAACAAATTTGTGGTTGCATTGGAGTGGTGGGTAGATTAGAGGGTGACAAGATTATAAGGATTTGTTGATTCTAGTAACGAATTGTTCTAAAATACATCATGGTAGTAGTTAGAAAACCATGTGAAATTATATTATTTGTGAGTGCAATATTTTATTGGTTTGCTGTTATTTTAGTTAAATATATTTATGACCTATATGATAATCCTAGGTATGTATATAAGTATAAAATGATCAAACTGGGATAGTTTGGTATGAGTGAATTGCAGGGTTTGTAACCCATATCTTAAAAAGTTGCTATAGAAGGTCAATATGAGAATAATTGGAAGTTGTTTGAAAAAGGTAAGGTTAGAAGCTGAGGGACTTCTTAGAAGTTAGATCACTTTTCCTATAGAAATAGGAACAGAAGCCTATTCTCCACAGATAGAGCAGTGAGAATTGGTTGAGTGAAGCAATCTATCCAAATCTACCTTCATGAACTGGTGAATTTATTGGGGATACTTAAAGCAGCAGTAATGGTTCAGGGGATACTTAAAGGAACTTGGATAATTCAAAAAATAATTGAAAACCTCACCCTATAATAGGTGCTGACTCATCAAATTTACATTCTTGGAGCTTCCAGCACATTCCTCTTTTTTAGCAGTTGTTATAATCTCTAATGGCAACTACTTGTGAATCTTGAAAGTATTTGGAGTAGAGATATGAGTCAATTGTTAATAGAAAATATTGCTCTTCCAGAGGACATGAATTCAGTTCCCAAAAGGCATACCAGGCAGCTTGCAACCATCACTGGCTCCAGCTCCAAAGGATATCATGGTGCTTTCTTGTCTAAATAGCCATCACCACTATGTGGACATATTCCCAATATACATGAATTTGAAATAAAATAAATCTTAAAAAACTAAGATATATCATAGAGATAGACTCATAAGACTTGGTATTTCATTGGATGTTGAATAGATGAATGTCAAAGTGGCAAAGAAAACTCAAGTTTTGAGTCTAAGTAACTAGAAAATAAGGAATGTTATTTCTAAACATTAGGGGCACAATTTGAAGAAAAAGTCTTATTTTTTCAAAAGAGAGAATTAAATTGATAGCAATTTTAGGTTGTGTTTGGTACTGAAGACGGAAGCTAGGGCTTCATATATACTAAGATGCTGTGCTATTGAAATATAACTCCCAATAGAAAATTTCTATTTTTATCTGCTAATAGGACAATATTAAAATGATACCTAATATTTCATTACTTTTTGTTGTGAGAGCTTAGTAACAAAGTAGGTCTATCTTGAAGTAGTTAAGATTTTTCAAGACATAGATCATAATATGTGACTGAAATCTTCCATAGAGTATTGAAAGAAAGGAGGGAGATGAGGACAGAGTTTATGGAAACAGTTTCATTAAGGGGACAGCAGCAGGAAATCAAGATGAACACAGAACCCAAATTATACAATACCATAGCTAGTGAAAATAGCAGCAGGACTATATTGCCACAGGATTAGGACTGAGCTTTTGTGTATGGAGAGGCTAGAAGTGCAATACTGGGTAATTTCCAAGAAGGGAGAAAAATGTGACAAAAATAAAATGGTGCCTGGTATGAGAATGATGGAAAGGGATCCTAAGGGTGCTGAGACTCAACTACTGTAGCCTTTAGAAATTGAGAGAAATGTTGTAATTGCTCCAATGAGACATCCCTTACTACCCTTCTTAGGTGAAGTACTTACTTACCAGTGGAACATCCCAGAAAGAGCTGGTCCTGGACCCAGTGACTCTGCTTGTGTTTCCTGGATTTATTATTCTGCAGTGGATCCCATCAAGGTAAAGAAAAAATTGAGTATTTAAAGGAGGATCCTAGAAATTGTCAAACTATCACTCAAAACTATGGCAAAGGGTGGAGCTAAAACAAACAGACAAACAAACACTCATAAACCAAGCAACCGACCAACCAACCAACCAACTAACCAACCAACAAAAAAACAGCTGTGTAATACCTGGGGTTTGAGGAAATTTCCACAGATGCTTCCCTTATTTTAATTGTCAGGAAGAAGAATGGAGGTAGTGTGTGACACAAGATACTTGTCATGAGGATTTTCTTTTTTTCCTCATCTTTTTTAGATCCTATAAAGCAGTATGTTTGAATACTTTTTAAAAATGCAGATAGTTGTCAGGAAATTAGGGACCTAGTCACAAATTTGGCACTAGAGTGACTTTGGAATAACTATCATTAAGTCATACTGCCTCTGTTTCCTAATCTGGAAAATGAATTTTGTCTATCTAGCCAGTTAATCATGAAAAGTCATCAGCAACATATTGTGTCTACTCTATTATGGGTATTTTTCTTAGTGTTGTGGATGATACAAATGTATCTGCCCCACTTTCAAAGGGCATGGTCCAATAGAGCAAAAGGGAATTAGAGAAGCTGTCAGAAAGGGAGTCTACCTGTAATCTGGACTTTGAAATCTAAATGAGAATATGCCATAGATAAGGAGTACATTGTAAGGAAAAAGGTATTAGGTTGATAGATGAATAGTTCAATGTAGCTAAAGCATAAATTATACATAATTATACATCATCTCTCAACTATGTATTAAATGGTTGTTAGAATGAATTTCGATATCAGAGTAGCATACATTCTAAGGGGCTTAGTATGCTGATTTGTAACTCAACTCTCTATAGAGTACTGCCATCCAGGAATAACCTCATGTTTTTCTCCCCTTCATCAGGATATGTATAGTGGTCTGGTGGGACCCTTAGTCATCTGTCGAAAGGGCATCTTGGGACCCCATGGAGGTCGGAATGATATGGACCGGGAATTTGCCTTGTTGTTTTTGATCTTTGATGAGAACCAATCTTGGTATCTGGAGGAGAATGTTGCAATTTATGGGCCCCAAGAGACAAACCATGTTAACCTGCAGGATGAGACCTTCTTGGAGAGCAATAAAATGCATGGTCTGTAGAAAAGAAGCTACTCATATTTAATAGTAGTCCACACTACTTTCATGCCATGATCTTCTAGGTTCATCTCTATTGGTGCATAATTCTGGAAAAGATGAGAAAATTGGACAGTGGAATGGGAATGACTTAGAAAAAAACTTTCTTATTATTCCACACATATTTGCAGAACAGATACATATCCCAGATTAGGTGAGGAGCCCAAAAAGAAGGAACCTAACTCTTTAAAGTTATTATGATGGCACAAGCAAATTTTAACAAGCTAGATAAGGGAACATGGACATTTATGGCCCTCTATATACATAATTAGCCACCTGGTAAGTGCCCCTCTGTTTCAAAATTCTAAGTTTGTTTTCTTCTCAAAAGCATGATATTTAATCACCATTTTTAATTCTGGATCTGTTCTGTCAATATAGACAAATGAAGGACAACTTATCATTTTTTTTTACTATGTTTAAAGCAAAATTTAAATTTACATGGAGTAGTTGGAGAAGATAGCCACAGAGAATAGCACACTGAGATTATGTCCCATACAATAAAAAACTTTTTGATTCTTGAATGGATCTGGGGTGGGAGAATTGTATCATCAAAGCCTTCCTTTGCTCTATATGTCTGGTAGCTTTTCACAAAAAAAGAGAAAGTCACGAATAAGAGGGAGGGCTTAAGTGCAGTGGAATGTATGAAGTGATCTCTCCCTACCACTTCTTACCCAAGATTTCTTTGATCTGAGAGTGAGGTGCAGCTTTGATAATGACTCTAATGGAACTCAAAAGTAGTATCCCATTGTCCTACAGATTTTATCTATTTCCCCTTGATGGAAAGATGAGTGATTCACACTAGAACAGATGATTCACAACTTTACAAAGTGAACTTTTTTAGTTTCTGTCAAATCAAGGAAATAAAATGGGCTAGAACAAAGAGGAAATGAGGGCATGGTTAGGTCCTCCCAATTCAGGATTTGGCTAATACCATCTTTCATCTACTCAGGTGCCCATTTTTCCAAACTTCAGATATCACTCTACCTAGCTAGCTAGATAGCAGGCATTTTTAAGCATATTCTGAGCACTAGTGTTATAAATACCAAGAAAAATAATGTTGCAGTCCATGAGGACAAGTAAATAGTATTTTAACTCCTCTTCTACATTTCTGAACAAACTGAGAAAAATAAATGGTTAAGATAAAATATGAGCCTTATTACTGAGAATGCTAATTGGAAAACTGGATGTCATTTTATAAGTAAATATGATTGCTGATACTTTCCTTGCAATGGATAGGTTTTCTAAATTGTCATTGACATCAATGGACAAGAAAATTTCTCTGTATTAGGAGAGGCAGGATCTTACCAGAACCAATTAGTGAACCAATTTGCACCTTTTTTTCTATGATCAAAGAGATAAAATATCTAGAAGTGGATGAGCTGAGCAACTTTGGTTCTTTTTTACCAAATCCACAATTTGATGTTGGTAGACATAGAGAAATACTGTACCTGTTCCTTCCATTATTTTTCCTCTTGAAGAGGAGAGTAGAAATTACCTCTCATCTGTGAGAAAATGAGATATGGGAGGAAATTATTTTGGGTAAAATCCTACCAATATGAGTTAATGTAACAATGAACAGTTCAGTGTCGTTGTAGCATAAGATGTGACTTTGGAAGAGAATGTGTTAATTAAAACAATGTACATTGTAGTCTGAGTTATCTGCTTGTGGTTCTGCAAATGTGCAAGAAAGCTATAGCACTGTAGTATATAAATTTATTCCCTGCTTATTAGTAACCTAAGACAAGTTGGCAACATTGGCTTTCACACCTTAAAAGATAAATAAACTTAGAAGACAGATTTTGGAGAGCTCTAATGAATCATGCTGAGGAGTATTGGAGGAGTTCAAAGAGGGAAGGTGATATGAGAAATTGAGGTTACATAGAGGAGCTTAGGAAATCAGAAAAGATTTCTTAAGGAGGCGAAATTTTAAAGAGAAAAAATAAGGAAGCAGTATTTATGAGAGGGAAACTCAGAAACGTAAAGAATCACATAACATACAGACCGGGTGGATGATGGTGAAAGAAAAAAACATCCCACTCATTGGAATCAATGCTATTGGCAGTTGGAGGTGAATCTGGGAAGGTTCGTGTGGAGATATATTTTAAATGAGCCTATTAGCTGAGCTACAGAGTCATGCAGTTTTTCTTTGGGAAAGGGAGGAGCCCTTAACTTTTTTTAACTTCAGAATTACATGGTGAGAATAATTGCTTAGAGATAACTCTGATATTATTATTGTGGAAGATATATTGAAGAGAGAGATGTAGCAAAATAGTAGCCTATTGCTATCATCAGAAATGATGGGAAATAGACACAGGGCAGTGGTAAGACATAAACAAAAGAAAATATATGAGGCATTTTCTTCTTTTACAGCCATCAATGGGAAACTCTACGCTAATCTCAGGGGTCTTACTGTATACCAAGGAGAACGGGTAGCCTGGTACATGCTAGCCATGGGCCAAGATACTGACATTCACACTGTGCACTTCCATGCAGAGAGTTTTCTCTATCAGGTGAGCTAAAATATGATTGATCTCCACAGGTAGTCACTTCTATGCTTTAGCTTTTTTTCCTGATAAGTAAGTGTTTGTCTCATTGAAAAGGCAAGTTGACAGAAGGAACCTGTGTCACTGTATCTGAGCCAAAGACTTTAGACTCAATGAGCAATGATTTGAAGAGCAAGGAATTTCAAATATACTCAACATCCTTGAAAGTCTTTAATATATCATTGCAAGAATTTAAATTCAGGAGCTGCATAGAACAATATGTATTCTGAAAATGTTTTAATTATAGGAGAATAGCACAGAATTAGAAGCAACATTGTAGACTTAGAGATCTAGACCTATTTTGATCAGGGTTTTGCCAAGAATGAGAAACGTAGCTGAATTCATTTACTTCTAAAGAAAACATGTAGATCCTTCTTAGAGGTCAGAACTTAATCCAGACTCTCCAGATTTTAGCTTATAGAAAATTTCAGAGAAACTAGGTTTGAACCCTTTACAAGAACTGATATCACCGTTCATCTGTGGCGCTTTATGAAAAAGTAGGAGGAGAAAAGAGCTGTGTTGTTTTAGTTTGCATGATTGAATTCTAGGAGAGATAAATAAAATGGACCTTTGAGGTTTCTCATTGCTATATCTATTTTAGACTATTAAGAATCTAAAATGGACATCATAGACTTTTAGTTCCTATAAGCTATAAATCCGTTCATATAATTTTCAGTTTTTCTCCCCATCAACTTTCTTGCAGAATGGGCACAGTTACCGGGCAGATGTTGTGGATCTCTTCCCAGGGACATTTGAGGTTGTAGAAATGGTAGCCAGCAACCCTGGGACATGGCTGATGCACTGCCACGTGACTGACCATGTTCATGCTGGCATGGAGACCATCTTTACTGTCCTGACTCATGAAGGTAAGACTCAAACCTCCCAAGTATGTTATTTTCTAATATTTAGTCTGTAGAAACGAAGTGATAGTAAGGAACCACTTGAACTTCCCTTACTGTCCCATAAGATCCAGGTTTTATCACAGATCAGGGCCCTTGTTTAGACATTTCCCCAAGCTGCATTTATCATCCTCCCTTGCAAATGTAGTAAGCTCACATGGGTGAGTTTGCCTAGACTGCAACTGGGAGGGCTCTTTGCTAGTGTAGATTTACTCCCCTTTGACAAAAAATTAATTTACAAATTCATCATTTAAAGTCCAATAAAAGTACTATTTCAAGGAAATTGCTAGTGAATCTTTCTTTGATGTGTTCATTGTCAAAGACAAATACATAGGGCTGGGAAGATGACAGAGTGGGCAACAATGTTTACAAATGAGCATGTGAACCTAAGTTTGCAGCCACTTTAAAGACCAAAGTATAGTCACCTAAGGCAAACACAAGTTCTGGGTTCAGTGAAAGACTGTCACTGAAACAAAGGGGGAAAGCAGTGGAGAAAGACATCCAGTGCCCTCCTCTAGCCTTTGAAGGGGCATAAGCACACATACCTGAACAAACACATGTGAGCATATATAGAACACCTCTCTCTCTCTCTCTCTCTCTCTCTCTCTCTCTTTCTCTCTCTCTCTCTCTCTCTACACACACACACACACACACACACACAACTGTGAAGTACATTGCATGGTGGTCAGCTTCTCCTGAACATGAGGCCTACCCTGGACTGATTGATATACCCAGTGTCACTCCATTGGAGAAAATTGATTTTCCCTCTCCCAGCAGACGTGAGTGTTAAGTTATTAACCTTTAACCTAGTGGCTGGGTTCATAATTCATTCCTTCATTCATTTTTAAAAGATACAACAAAATAAAATTTAATAAGATAAAACAAACTGTCACAACAAAATCATGCAAGAAAAAGCAACAGAAGGAAATGAACTCAAGAGAAGGCACAAGAACTAGAAACTGACTCATTAATACCATCAAGAATCCTATGAAATCACTAAACTAGAAGCCATAATACCCATAAATAAACTAGAGGACATGTTACAGACCCATGCAGTACCTGTACATGTTGCCTTAGTCTTTGGGAGTTCATATAAGCTTTGCTCATATTGATTTAGATGGTCTTGTTGTCTTGGTGTCCTCCTTCCCCTCTGGCGCTTATACTCTTTCTGCTTCTTCTTCCTTGGGGTTCCCTGAGCTCTGAGCAGGAAGGGATTTGATGGAGATTTTCCACTTAGGGCTGAGTGGTCCAAAGTCTCTCACACTTTGCACAATGTCTGTCTGTAGTTCTCTATATTTGTTCACATGCTGTAGGCAGAAATTTCTCTGACAATGACTGAGTAGGCATTGATCGATGAATATAGCAGAATATTATTAGAATTTATTTAATCACTATGTTTTTTGTTTTGTTTTGTTTTGCTCTTTTAGACAAGTATTATTTAGTTTTTCCCTAGGTCACTGGGCTATCTTGTCTTTGGTTCTTTGTCACCCAGGTAGCATTGGGTATGGGTTCTATCTCATGGTGTGTGCCTTATGTCAACTCAGTTTTTGGTTGGTTACTCCCACAAGTTTTGTGCCACCATTGCGCTAGCACACCTTGCAGACAGGACACTATTGTAGATCAAAGGGTTTATGGCTGGTTGGTGTTTACATTTTTCTTTTGAGAGAATGCAGAGTACATTTTTGTACTAAAAGAAGCTAGAACTTAAAGGTAAAGGCTCTATGTAGGCACCAGCTTAATTTCTCCATGTTCAATGAGTTGTGTAGTTTTTGTCTTCAGCATTGGGGGCTTGCTCTCAGTTTGTAGAGAGCATCCTATTGGCTTAGCAACAGTCTGAGTTGTTTGGGCCACTTTGGCCGACAACTCAATTAGATAGATATACCCCAATCCTGGTACAGGAAACTTTGATTGGTGACAAGAGATTTACAGTTGGGACTCTTACTCCCTTGTCATTTAGATATTTCATTTAGATCACCTTCATATATGTACTTAGGAAGTTTCTACTGTATTAGGCTTTTATACTACCCCTTAAATGTCACTACTTTTATGTTTCCCCCTGTATTCCCTCCTACAACCCCATCTCCACTTGATCCTGCTGTTCCAGCCCCCTATCTCTGTCAATTGATAATTATCTGTTCTACTTTCCTTTCCTTATAAGATCTATCTTTTTATGCCTACCCTATGTGGGTCTGTGGATTGTAACTTAGCTATTGACTTAACAGCTAATATCCACATATAAATGGATTTTGCCATGTTCGTCATGCTGTGTCTCGGTTACCTTACTCAGGATGATTTTTTTCTAGTTCCATTCATTTGCTTTCAAATTTCATGATGTCATTTTTTAAAAAGATGAGTAATACTCCATTCTGTGAATGTACTATATTTTCTTTACCCATTATTCTGTTGAGAGACCTCTAGGTTGTCTCCAATTTCTAAAAAAAATATTTCTTGGATAAAGTTCCTGATGAAGCTATGAGGTATATGAACCACATCTAAGATGAAAGATTAATACAATGCTGGAGGAAGATAATCCTTCTGTTGTGATCAGAGAGAAGACAGAATAAAAGAGGATGAGTGTGTAGGTTTAAAGGAAGGTCATGACAAGCAAACTTTTTGCCTTTTGTTCTCTTGATTCTTCTGGGGTGTAGCTTATAGCATCATATGCTGAGGGGGAACTACTTGAGGAAATTGAGAGAAATGTTAGGATAGATACTTTGGGGTGGAGAATAAAGTCACTGTTGCCTTATAGCATTGAGGGCTTAGTTAAAATTAGACACAGAGAATCAAGTCTTTACATGCGGATGATATTTTTCTGGTGACATTCAGCATATTGGGTAAAATACAAGGCAAGAACAGTTACTGTGATTCTGTATGTCAGTGTTTGAAGCTATAGACCATGGAATCTAATGTGGTTCTTAGTGGAAAAGAAGACATGGATGAATTGGTAGGTCAGAAGTCCTGTGGTTTAGGAATAAAATGTTTAATGATGGGAGAATAACAGGATTTTTGCTAACAAAAAATAAGCATTAAAATGAGAGATTTTTTGTTAGGTTTGGGATTTCTGAGGTGCTGAAGACCTGGAGGAGCAATCCAATATGACCATAATTGATCATGAGTGGTAAACCTGGAGTGAACATACATGTAACTTGAATGAAACAGTCTATTCCTGGAAGGGGAATTGAGAAAGACTACACTAACAATCAACGACTTCCATGGATAAAGAGAAATACTAGATCACAGTAACAAGAAATGTTTAATTTTTCTACATAGTCAATGTGATCTTCAAAATAAATCAATCTTTACTAGAATGGGAGAATCAATATTTGAATAGCACATACCTCAGAAAATAGTTCAGCTTCACTGAAGAAAGAAAGGAAGAATTATTTTGAGACAGCATTGCATGTGTACAGAAATACATTTGACAGAGAGCATGGGCTTTCTGAGGGGATAGTGGGAAATGGTGGAAAAGAAATAGTATAATATTCAATGGAGATAGAGAAAGTGACAAGAAACACAGAAATAAAGGCATAAGAGTAAGCTATATTTTGGCTTTGTAGGTCTATGCACTTGCCCTTGTTTCCTATGAACACTCAAAATCAAATTAACATTTTAATATTCATTTTTACTGATGACATTTCTTATCTGACAATTTCATGCATGTCTGTTAATATATTCTGCTTACTCTCTCTCCCTTTAACGACCCCTTTCCCTCAACCAGTCCCTTTCTATTTCATGACATTTTGGTTGGCTTTGTGACATTCAGTTTAATCACAGCCATCTGCATGACCATTGGATTGGAACTATTTGTTGGAGCCTAGTGAGATCATGAGTGGGTACTTAACTAAGGGCAATAGTCATCACTTTCCCTGAATTGATCTCTAGCAATGTCCAGCCATGAGGGGAGGAGTGCTCTGAGCCCCTCCTCCATCTGTGCTTGACTGTTGACAGTGCCATTCTTGTGTAAATCCACTACAGGCATCCATACCTGCTTTGTGTTTGTGATTACAGGGGCTTTGTCTTGCTTAGGAGATGATATTTTGCAGTGCTTCTCCGTATCTTCCAGCTCTTACATTCTTTGTGACACTTCTTCCACAGTGTTCCTCAAAGTTTACAGTGGATAGTATAAATGTGTTGTTTAGGGCTGAGCACCTGTGCAGCAATAGGCCTCTGCTTTCATCATTATTCACAGGAAACAGTCTTCTTTCATTAAAGCTGAGAGAGTATCATATGTCTAAAAGGATAGATGTAACTATTTAGGAGGTGACTTGATTCTATGTTAATTTGCCAAACAACAGTATTCCATACCCCCCACCATACAAGACCTATGTTCTGTCCTATCATGGGTTTTTGACTAGTTTAAAGTACTAGGCATGGATGTCCTTGTTCTCTTAGAAAAGTTCTCAAATCCAATCAAAGAGACCTTAATAAAGTAGTAAATTCCATAAAGAAATTGCTTCAAATATTGTAAATTTCCCATAGAAATCCCATAGATTGATACAAAGAATAATAGGATCAACCTCTTTTCTTTTTCTACAGAACATTTAAGTACTATGACTACCATCACCAAAGAGATTGGAAAAGGTATGTAGGATGATGTATATACACTAACAAGTTAATGTGGAATGTGTGTGTGTGTGTGTGTGTGTGTGTGTGTGTGTGTGTGTGTGTGTGTGTTTGTATGTATGTATGTAATATGTGATACTTCTAGCATGACTAAATTTGGGCACCATAATATAATGCCTTAAGAGTTTTGTAAAATATCAGAAACCATTGACTAGGATTTAGTTACCCTCAACATGTTTAATTGACTAGGATTTAGTTACCCTCAACATGTTTATTCACCTTTCCCATAACTTTTGGAATTTGGGGAAACAGCCACATATAAAGCTCTATTCTTAGCTCAAAAACTATTTATGAGGGAGAATAAAATTCCAAATCCTACTAGGTTAGATATGAAAGAGTTGCAGCAAAAACAAGGATTCCTACATGGACAATATGAGACTAGAAAAATACCAGACATCCTTTAACAACTACTTTTATTCTTTTTCTCTTTTATCTATAGAATAACAAGGAATTGTAGCTTGGGGACCATTCTTTTTTTCCCTTTGAGAAAATAAAAATTATTTTCCTATGATGCCTAGGTCAAAATTATTCTTTCATTCTTTACTCCATTTTGTGCCTTTTGTGAGGAAAGATTCAGAAAGTTGTGTGAAGTGCAAGAACTATTAGACCCATGTGTGCTCCCATGCCTTATATCCCCACACTTGGAAAGTAGAGTAGGAGAATCATAAGTTCCAGACAAACTTAGACTCATAGTGAGACCATGTCCAAAAAGATTAAAAGTCCCAATAAAAGGGACACTAAGGAATATGAATTTACTCTGGAGATTTTCAGCTCTACTGAAAACCAACTTCTCTTGCTAAAGTCCCTATGATCTACCTAAGTGTCCCATGAATTATTAACCATGGATTAGGATGTATCCTGGACAGGTTAGAGAAAGTTAAGGTAAGGTTGAAAGGTCAATCATCAGATCACACTTCCTTCAACTCAAGTAAATATATATATATATATATATATATTGTAATATGTGCATATTTATATATACATAAATATTGTGTGTGTATTATTCATAAACCCTCAATTGAGGAAAAACTGTCAAAATTATTGGTCTAATAACACTTACTAATTTTCTAAATTAGAAGTTTGTTCAGGGTCACAAGAAGAATAAATGCCAGAATGTAAACTCAGACCCAGAATGTGCTTCAGTTTATATTTGAACTCATTATTTGGCATCTTCTTTCAGTTCTGTGAGAACATTCATTCATCCAATTATGCATTCATCAAACAACTGTCAATTACCAGGGGCACAAAAACAAATAAGACGTAATTGCTACTTTCCATTGCCTAAAAATGGAATGATACACAGAAACAATAATTGTAATGCTAGATGCTGTGCACAGAAAGGGTAAACAGCAATAGTATCTTATAATTATTGTATATTTTCTGTTTGCCAGGTGGCATGCTAAATATTCTATGCATATTATTAATGCATTTAAATCCGATAATAATCCCTTTTGTTAGCCATGGTCATCATTATCTACATTTTACAAAAGGAGTAAACTAAGATTCATTCGGGATGCAGTCACTTAGTCCTAGGTCACAGATTAGATAAATTTGGAACCCTAGAGGAAGGCTCCATTAATTGTCTAAATGAATTGCAGACGGCATGTGATATTTAACATGGAGCTACAAAGGAGAGGAAAAGGAGGAAAGTATTCAGGCAAAGTAAGAAGTATGAACAAAGACAGAACCTATGCTAAATTTTATGGGAAATAAAGATTGAGTTTCTGTAGTTGAATAATAGCAAATACAACTAAAAAGGTAGTTTAGAGCCTGACTGAGAGGGTTGGAGTGTGTGACTTAAAATTCTGAGCTCTGCCCTGTAAATCAGTTGAAGACAGTGGAATGTTTATATGACAGAAACTGTCACAATCATCATAAAAGATCTCCCTGAAAATACTATTAACATGCTCTACAAAGGTGGGAGTCCAGGCAACCTGGTGGTGAGCTGTCACATACTAATGGCTAAAATGAACATTGATAAGTTGGATTGACTCAATGTTCTTCATGAAGTTTCACTTATTTCTCCTAGTTCTACTCTCTGAGTCCAGGCAGACTAAGTCTAATTATTTATTTTTTTCTATAGCATAAGGTTTTAAGTATTTTCCTGTGACTCTTAGGTCTTCCCATGGCTAAACAGAATAGGTGCATCACTGGTTGTCAAGGAGAGCTTCCAGCTATGATATTATAATTATCTGATCATAAATTTGAAATCAATCTTCGTCAGCTGGTTTGAAGAATGGGGACAGGTTGTCTGTCCTATTTTCATGGACTTATTTTTCTAGGAGATGTCTACAAAAGGTAATCTTATGGATGGGTGTCCCTTTCCTCTTCCTCCATTTCAGCAGTGATCCTAAGAGACATTGGCGGAGACAATGTGAAGATGCTGGGCATGACGATCCCCATAAAGGATGCTGAAATTCTGTCTTCTGTTTTGATTGCCGTATGTGTAATTCTGCTTCTTGTTGCTCTGGCTCTTGGTGGTGTAGTCTGGTACCAGCATCGACAAAGAAAGCTTCGGCGCAACAGGAGGTCCATTCTTGATGATAGCTTCAAGCTTCTGTCTCTGAAGCAGTAATAGCTGAAGCCAGAAGATGTCTTCAGAAAACATATCTGGAATGTATCCCATGCTCCCAGGAAGCAATGTACTAGCAGCAAACTCTTTTGTCAAGGGGTAGGGGTAGTGGAGGGGCAGAGGATGGAATCAAAATTATCTGGCTGTTTATTTATTTACATGGTAATCATATGCTCTCACTTTTTCTTTATTTTCCTTGCAACCTGAGGCAGTTAGGATTAGGTAAACTGTTTTGTATACAGATTTCAGCAGCTAGGCTATGCCACCCTTCAATCCTGGAACGTAAGGAAATTCCTAGAACATAATTGTTCTCACAGAATATATACCAAGAAAAAGGTATCTAATTTGGTTTCTATTTCCAGGACCTAGCTAGAAGAGTATACGCATAATTGAGGGCAAATGATGAGCCACAAAGATGACCCCTAACTAAATAAAGGACCAAGAGTATAGGCATGATGGAAAATGAGAGATAGAGTGGGGAGTGGGAATTCAAATTACACTTTAATTATATTTGGCAATGGACTATTGAGGAGAAGTAAATGAAAGGGTTGTGGTTGTCCTGAGTATCTACAACCTATGGAACCAGAAACACCTGTAAAACAGTCCTTCAGTGGTACTGAAGGGAATTTTGAATGTTCTCTCCATGTTCGAAGTAGCAAATTTTGTCCATTAATGTAATTATTAAAAGATTGGAATACTGAGTGTGGTGATTTTGGTGATTCCCATGGCAACTGGGGGGCAAATTATAGATCGCCATACCCTTTGTGGATCCTAGAGATTTGTGTGCTTTTGCAAAGTAAGCCTCCATGTCAAGTGGTAACATCTTAGAGTTCTATAAGTACTAATCATTTTTGGAATGTCAAGAAAAGTGGCTAGAGAAGGTCCTGAGACATTACCCATACCTGTCCACTGGACAAAAAGAGGAAGGTGCATGCATGGTGATTTGGTAGATGGGGGTGCCTATGGAGGAAAGAGAAGCATGTTTGCAATTTGTAAACCTCTTTATAGAACAGATCCATTCCTTCCTATACCTTACAGCAATATACCTTTGTTGCCAGCATGTTCAATCCTCTCAGAAACTTTCATCAGAAAGCACACACAATTGTGAAAATAGGAATGGGCTAAGACAGTCCATTCCCACTACAGTTTCCACATGGCAAATGGAGAACAGACGGGGCATCATGGACAGTAATGATAATAGCAATGGGATGGGGATACAGCTGAGTGGTTAAGTGATTGCCTCATAAAAGAGAGTCCCTGGGTTGGAAAAAAAAAGAGCACACAGAAAATAAGGTAATAACAAAGGTGCATAGTGATCTTCTTACACATAGCAAATAATTCTAATTACTGATTGGATTGGACTCCCCTGGATTCATTATAGTGGAGTATATTCAATGATTTTGCTTAGGGTGACTCAGCTGCAAATTAAGTGGAGACTCAAATTTTCATCTCTTTGATTCCAAAAAGGTTCTGTTTTCCCTTTGTCATGGAAACTTCTTCTATTCTTTGTCTTTCTTACCCACTTGATTTCAAATTGTGAGGTTGCCTAGCAACTTGTTTACTTAGTTAGCAACCCACAGAGTTGGTTTCCAGTTGCCATAAAATGCTGCAGGTCAGAGGCCAGAGAAGCTAACAAAGGCTAAAATAATGTATTTTATTCATCCACGGTCAGTGGCTTTCTGAAAATTTTCTGAAAATATAGGGAACATAGATGTGGAGGAACATATTAATTACCCATTATCCTGTTATAGAAATAATATGCCTTCTTAGTGAGAAATCACACTGCACACTTAGAGATAAAATAAAGGCTCTTAACCAAAGTGCACAAGTCTGACTGTGGCTAATCCCCAAATAAGAGTCAGAATGAATGGAAGATTTTACTAACTTAAATATACCTCAGGGTTATGCATCCCACAAACACTGCCATCCTAAAATCTTGTTCTCTCCTGGCCCAAGATTATACTTTGAACAATTTAAACAGTCAGGAGACTACAGGTCTGGCCACTTAAGCAGGTAGGAGATTCACAAAGCAAAGGTATTGCCATAATTGTTTTTAAGTATACCAGTGTTATTCTTTTTTTAATAGTTGTTACTACATGGCAAAATTGTAACAGAGCAAGATGGTACTGAAGTTCCTCTATCTTATATCCTTGGCAAAGCTGTTTTAGGTTTGCTTAGAATTTGATCTCCTTGATGGAAAGCTCTGTGGAAAATTACCCAACTCTGTTCTAGAAACCTGAATTCAAGATGCCCCAGCTAATTTATCTTGGCTTCTCTTCATCTGCCTGCTTGTGTAAGCCTGCCCCTCCAGCTAATTGATAATCTTAGCTTCTGTTAAACTGCTTGCTTGTGTGAAACCTCTCACTGCAGCTGCTGAACAAGATAGCAGGATATGGTTTTGCCTTTAAAAACCCCTTACTCTAAATTTGCAGTGCTGTACTTGAGTCCTGAATACCTGAGTGTAGTCCCAGCTGGCTGGAATAAAGACTTTCAATTGGATATAAACTGTGTCTGAGTAGTCTTCTGTAGTCTTCTGTAGGACTCCCTGCAACATAATTTGTTTTTCCTGATAGGAACATAGAGTTAGTAGCAGACCAGAGCTTAGTTATGGCTATGACCCTATGCTGCTCCAACTCCAGCTGCCCCATAAAAATATATCTTTTGTATAGTAATCAGGGCCCAATGATGTGTCAGTCCTGGTGAATAAACATTCACATTCTAGCATCATTAATTTTACTTATCTGTAACAGGCCTGGTGAGGATGCTAATTATCTTTGATATATTTTATAGGTAGTACTCCTTAGGCTAAGTTTCATTTGTGTGACTTAATCTCTCCTAAACAAATCTATTAGTAAATCCTGTATAATGTCAGTTTTTATCACTTTGGGTTTCTTTTACGTTTTCCACAGTTCAAGTATTAGCTTTAGCAGCAGCAGACAACTCCCCTTTGGCCTGTTGTTTATGTGGAGATTAATGAAAATTGGCTATATTTTGAGGAACCCAATCAATTAATGTTGATAAGTTACATATAACTGGGAAGTCCTTAGTTTTTATATGTGAGACTGGGAGATATAGGTATGGCATGATGTTTTTTAAAAGATTTATTTTTAAAATTATTTTTTAATTATGAGTATGTGGGTTGGAGAAAGATCAGAGACATCAGATCCTAATTCCCCCTCCCCACCCACCAGCTGGAATTAAATGGTGGCAAGACATTGAATGTAGGCTTGGGAACCAAACTCAGGTCCTCTACATGAGCAGTACTTGCTCTTAAGCAACGAGCCATTTCTGGAGCCATACATAATTCGTCTTTCAAACAATGGAATCTTAGAACCTTTGTATTTTAGAAGAGGATTTTTTTCCTGAAGTTCTTCCAAATATCGATATAAGCAGGTACTATGGATATAAGGTATGCAAAAATAGTTAAACAGTACTCTCATCCTGTTCATTTCTCAAGCCTGAAGTTCCTAACATCAACACAATAGTGTTGTCTTATTTGCTTTCTCCCCAAGACATCATTAAAATATTTTATTTTCAACTATTTTGTTTATTATTATTGTGGAGCACATATGAAAGCATGTATGTGGTGGTAAGAAAACAACTTTCAGAAATGGGTTTTCTTCCCAACTGTGAGCTTTGGGGATTGAACTCATATTATCAGGCTTGTATGACAAGCATCTTTACTCAGTGAGCCATCTTGCTGGACCCAAAATATCTGCATTTGTTTATATATTTGTTGGTTTCCACTTCAGTTAAAAGCTTAATCAATTGTTAGGTTGGGCATGTTCGCTTATGTGTATAATACCAGCATCGAGACATAAGGGCCACAAGGTCAAGGTCAGCCTAGAGTGCATACTGAGTTCCAGACCAGCATGGAATGAAACAGTTTCTCAAAACAAAGAGAACAAAAAAATCACAACCATTTGTTTCCTGGACTATTGTATTCTTTTCCTGCTGTTTTTCTCAGATTCTCTGTAGACTTACAATTGATTTTCCAGACACAAAAGTGAGGTTTCAAAAATATAATTAAGCCTCTAGTTTGAACAACATATTGTACATTTAGATCTCCCTGAAGATAAGTAGACCCTGGAGATAATTAAAGAGGCAACAACAGAAGAAGAAAGAGAAAATCAGTAAATAGGGACAGCAGGACTGAAAACATAATGTTTTAGCTTTGTATCATATGACTCTCTACTCAGAACAGCAAAATCACATAATATTGACACTCAGAAAAACAAGGTACAGCATTGTGGTGGTTTGAATGAATGTGGCCCCCATAGACTTATATTTTTGAATGCCCAAAGGGTGTGGCAAGATTAGGAGGTGTGACCTTGTTAGAGGAAGTGTGTCAGTATAGAGGTGGGCTTTGTGGTCCTATATGCAAGCTATGTCCACTGTGACACACAGCTGCTTCTGCTGCCTGCAGATCAAGATGTAAGTCTCTCAGCTCTTTTTCTAGCACCACATCTACCTGGACACTGCCATGCTTCCAGACATGATGATAATAGACTAAATCTCTGAAATTGTAATCCAGCCCAATTAAAGGACTTCCTTTAGAAGAGTTGTCATGGTCTTGAAGTCTCTTCACAGCAGTAGAAATCCTAACTAAGACAAACATAATCATGGAAATAACCAAAGAGCAATAGCAAATTGAGTGACAGTAGGTACCTTTTAGAAACCCCGGAAGCTGGAAGGAAATAGCATCATATTTTCCTAATGAAGAAAGAAAAAGTTTGCCAAAGCCAACTATTGTGGTACACACACCTAGAGTTTTAATGCTTGGTGTACAGACTAGGGAAGACTGAAGTCCATGGTCAGCTTAGACTTCACTGAAAGTTTGAAGCTAGCCTGAGCTATATATGGAGAAACTGACTCACCCTATTATTCAAAATTCTGTATCTAGTGAAGAGTCTGCAATTTCTGAAATTGTGTATAAATACAATTTGTGCTGTATGTACTATATGATCTATCTTATTTGTTGTATAAAATTGACATTTAATTTT